TATGTTTTCATTAGTGTATAAACAACAGAAAATTTCTGTTACCTTAGAATGAGACTTTTTTATCTCTATCTACAGAGGGTGCGAGTTGCCTGCCATGGAGTCCGCCATGTTGTACCGCCATGTTTCCACAGTAACCCAGAACAACACACCCACACTGGCTCTAGATAAGGTATTCTTGTGAGTTTGCAAAAAAACACAGCACGTTCTCATTCCCAGGTGGTCAAATACAGATGCAAGTGGTGTTCATTAGTTGAAATCTGAAACTTCATCACTAGTGCCACTAAATCGTACATGTATGCGTAAGCACACACCACAGGCATTTTTTTCATCAGGATGGGGGATAACTTATTTCAGCTCTTCCGAATCAAAGAACTTCGCGTCTTGTATCTTGAAAGAAGACAGAATAAGTAAAAATGGATCAAGAATGAAGGAAGACATGTTTCCTTGGACACAGGTTAAAATTATCCTATTACACTTGCAGATTTTCTGTTACTGGTTTTAAGCAAATAAGACCTTTAGGACTGAAATCTGTGTCTACTTAGGGACAGTAGAACAAGCTGTAAACACTACATTATCATATCATTGCCTTTTACCGATGTATTGGCAAATAATTGCTTATTTACACATGCAGCAGACATGGAGCAACATTACCATTCATTTAGAGAATATCTGGCTCTTTAGCTTCTGAATGCTCCACTATGTTCATCATCTAGTTGCTAATTGTGTCAGTCTGCTGTTGGTGCTGGGCAGTTGGTGTACAGAGCTTATTCACTGAAAACAGCTGCCTGCTGCTGAGTGAAACATGACTGATGAAAGTGGTGAGACAGAAGTTGCAGGCGCTAAAACCAAATGAATGAAAGAGGCAAAAGGGCAGAGTAGAGGTGAGAAGACAGGCCTGAAGTGGCTAATCTGGAGAAGAGGAAGGGGTTCCCGGTGGGCCGGGCTGGTTGTTGGGCTGCAAGGGCAGTTGGTAGTGTCAGTAAACGATAATTTTAAAAACAGATCAGGTAGGCTTCACCCGCAGAAGCCCAGGAGGTTACGATTGGTCAAATGTGCCAAACTCAGAAACAAGTCTATGATTAAAACAAACTTGCAGCTTGAGAGTAAAGATACAGAACAAGCACCAGAAGTTGATGCAGACCATAAGACAGATACGCTAGCTTGGTAGAAAAACAAAATATAACATACAACGTTGTCTACAAACTATAATTAAATAAAAAAAGAGTTTAGTGTCGAGGGACTGTGTGGCATAAAATGATAAAAGCCCTTTGCTAAATGCAAAATGGTATGCTGTGTGAGACACTTTGTTGTCTATTGCAGGGGTTCCCGAACTTTTTCCCTTATTGTTACACTTTTCAAAAACTGTAATAAATGTTCAAATATTCTATTATTTATTTTCCTGGGGACCCCCTATAACCTACACCTGGACCCTAGTTTGAAAACTGCTGGTGTAGTCTCTAAGCAGCAGCAGCCAGTCGAGCAGTTGTGAACTTCAGTGCACAGTTAAAAAAAAGAAGCAACTCATAAATTCAAGGCAGCTGCCTCCATTACATTTTTTAACTAATAATAATTATTATAATTTACTTTTCTTCTTTAGAAAAACTTGACACTTTAAGTTTTGTAAACACAAAATTTGTATTTCAAAAATGTTTAAAACTCATTAAAGCGAAAAACATAATAATTTTCCATTGCAACTATTTAATTTTCAGCACCAACTAATGACAATTTCACAGCTAACAAATTTCAGAAGAAAAAGAGTAAATCATGCTCAACATAAAGACTTACACTACAGATGCAATCATTTTTAACTAAAAGTTGTTGAATGTGTTGAATCGTATTTTGAAGTGAGACTGCTTCATTTTATAAATTACAGGAACTTCTGTTAAGTACTTTTTACTAGGTAATTTGTTTTCACAGTAAGATTACAAAATTAAAAACTTATCAGGTTTTACATCTTGGCAAAACTCTTTTTAGTTCAATCAGAATTGAACTTAAAACTTTAAAATTTAGACAGCTGCCTTGAAATGGTGAGTTTTCTCAACTTTTCTGTTTGGGTTGGTCTGAGGCAGGAAACTTCCAGGCTGACAATGATTCCCATTCCGGCCCTGCAGAGTTGGGTCTTTGGGTTTCACACATGACATTCAGTGAACTGATCCATTGTTACTATAAAAAATTATTGGTGCAGCTTTGATAATAAAACAATGTAGCTGTGTTCCAAGATCTCAACTACAGTATTACTTTAGTGTGTACAATACCATAACTGATAGACACAATGATAAAAACTACAACTGTAATCATCCTCCAAATCAATGTGACAGTCTTCAGTGTGTTTTAAACTGCGAGTCTTAAAAAAATACAAGTAAACCAAACAATTCTTGTGCTTTTCTTGAGAATACACCAGCTGATTGCTAGCCTAAAAGTCAGATCTGCTATGAGGCAGCACCTGGGAAGCAATGGATATGTGCACGCTACTGTGAGAATCCCAAACAGTGAAACTGAGCCCTCTGAACAACACTGCTGCTGATCCCCCACATGTTCCACAGAGAAGGGTCTTTCTGGGGCACTGACACCGGATCCCACATCTCGGTCCTGGTATGGGGATCAGGGCCGACAGGGGGGGTGTTGGGTGGGTGGGTGGGGGGAGTGGAACTGG